CTTTCCCTTCAGGTTCTGGCTTCAGAGGAGAGTGTGTTTCCAGCTTATGTGGCCGGTCTCCCCCTTCAAAAAGAAAGCTGTAATTTATGTAGAGGGATTTGGACTCCTGCTATAATTGCAAAGAAGAGAAAATTACTAGAATTAAGAAAAAAAAAAAAAGATGCAAGCAAAATGACTGGTTAATGAAGCCAAATGCTGGCATCTCCCTTCGCATTATGAATGTTAGAAGAGTTATAGTAAATGACTCTGCACCATTCCTCTGCCAGCACAGAATTTGACTTTATGGTTTATTTGCCATGGCTAGACTTTCCCTCTGTAGCAGGTTTATCTATGCACCTTTGTATACGTTGTAGTGGCAATGCAGATGATTGATTACTTTCTTCTCAGTATTCATTCTACAACCTGTTCGCTTCAACTTGCTGATATAGCTAGATCCTCACTGAATGCATTTTTGTGTAACTCTGTTGTTCTGGCCCATTGTATATAATTAGCATATATTTTCCTTTATTTCAAAACATTATTTTTATTTAGGATGCCATAACAGGAGTGTGGAAACACACGAGATGAGCATAGGCAAGCTGTAACAAATTTAGAGCTGCATTTGTAACAGAGAAAAGAACTATGGTTCAGTGAAATAATCTATGTCAGTTGTAGCTGAATCATAACCCCCACTAGCAACTATTTTTTATTGCATAATAAACAGATAAGACAATCCAAAAAGAAAAGACTAAGCATGGTCTAACAAATCAGTTTAAGTATAACATTTAAAATCAGATAACATTGTGGTAGGAGTCTCTGCTATTAATGAAAATGAAGGAGGAGAAGACTGCTTTCTTCCCAGGTTATTCTTCATTAGAGGACAGAGAGGTGAGGAGCAGAGCTGGAAGAGGCTCAGGAGACGAACAAGAGAAAAGAGCAATAGTGTAGCAGAGAGGGAGGGTTTTGCTTCACGGAGACAACTGAAGTGTGATCGAATATATATTTTCTGTGTACATTTGTGCAGTAAATAATAACACCTTCCTGTAGCTGTTCAAATTGCCAGGGGCCCTTCTGCTTTGCCTACAGAAGCATTTTGCTTTTCAAGCCCTGGCTTTACCTGAGCTGGAATCTTTAACCGGCAATTATTAATATTTATTACTTCAGAACAGCATTGCTTTGGGGATGGCTTCTGAACAGTGAACACTGCCTTCTGCCAGGCATTGCACAAACACACACACGTCGCTCTGAGGAATTTATGGTTTACATAATTTGGCTGCATGGCAGGTTTCCCCCTGCACAGACCCTGCTAACACAGACATGCATTACCCCTCCTGCATGGACTCAGCAACACGTCCTGGAGGGCCTCCCTGTCTCCACCAGAGCTGTATGAGTGTGGTTAGACAACAGGCTACAATATCATTATAAACAGGGGAAC